TCACAAGCCAACTTAAGGATGAAGCCATAGTAAGATATTTATGATGTGAAAGAATTTGAACCAAAAACGTTCATTAATAATAAATCCAAAGCTACTACAAGAAATCACTTATCATCCTCCCCACTTAAGGACACAAATTTTCTCGGGTTTAACCCCGTTATTATCACATCATGTCAGAACAGCTAGAAGTTTCACATAATAGTAAACACATAAAAGTGTAGTGGTATGCATAATCAAAAATATGATCATGCCATTATTACAACAAGATAAAATAGCAGTAAATGAATCATCACCCAATATCCATAGGATAAAAGCTTCACTTCCAAGCCCACTTGTCACCACCAGTGTTCTCCTTACTTTCTTACCTCCTGAAGGGGTCAATAAAACAAAATGTGAGTGGACCAATTTTATCACAGTTATAAGATCATCATTTGACATAATAACCCCTGTTTTGAAAACATATATAGCAAAAACTATTAATAATATTTACTACCATAATGGTAAAATTTCATCAATCTCTACAATCGAAAATATTCAATCCAAGTTTAGAAATCATACCTTAACTCAATCAACCACACTGGCGTCCACTAGCATAAGTATAGCAAGCAGTATATACTAGCGTCAACTAACTAAACTCAATACCAGTACAAATCAATAACCCTAGTATCTACTACGATAAATATCCCCTGTAAGTAATCTACGATCAAAGATAACTATACAACGTATATAAGAGAACATGTGGTGAAAATAAATCACCAATGATCTAAAGATATTGTCAAATCGTCATAAGTCTTATCAAAGACCAACATAGTAATATGCATTTGCATATAAAACATCTATAAACATCTATATATATATATATACACACGTAAAAACGTTTAGTTTTTGAAGGGGTCCACTCATAGGTAAGCAGAGCGCCCTTTGCTACTAGGCTCCTTGCCTAAATCCTTGTTGATCCTCTAATAACCTTGTGATAGTCAATATAAGCTAAATCAAGCTTTAATCATCAATTTATGGAATATTGCCCAAAAATACCATTTAGGTATTGAATTTGCACAAATGGAGGGCACCACATTATTCAGAACACCGAAAAAACTAGGGTTAGGTCTTGGGTCCGTCAAGTGTTGCCACACACACCACCACACGTTGCCGTGTGTGTTTGTGTGTGTGTGTGTATATATATAATGGAAAAATGTTTACTTTTTGAAGGGGTCCACTCACAGGTAAGCAGAGCGTCCTTTGCCACAGGCTCCTCACCTAAATCCATTTTGATCCTCTAATAACCTTCTGATAGTCAATATAAGCTAAATCAATCTTTATCATCAATTTACGGGACATTGCCCAAAAATACCATTTAGGTATTGAATTTGCACAAACGGAGGGCATCACATTACTTAGAACATCGAAAAAACTAGGGTTAGGTGTCGGGTCCATCAAGCACCGCCCATGCGCCACCACATGCTGTCATGCTTCAGCCACGCGCCACCATGCATTCTCACGGTGGTGCCACGTGCCATCATGGGCTGAGAAACACGTGCCACCGTCGATCATTATCGTCGATGAACACACTGTCGTACTAACACCCGCAGTATGACAAATAAACGTCACACTCGTTGTCACTAGAGCCACGCACCGATGTGGTGACGTTTAATTAAGAGTTAACGAAATATACCTTTTCTGTTACAAGATTCCATTAAAATTAATGGAATCTCAGTTCCTGCCGTTAAAGTTAACGGTGGCCGTTGCTGGTCACCGTCGCCAGTCGTCGGGGTCTCGCTAAAAACTGCAAAGAAAACCCAAAATACCATCAAGGCTTTCCCAAACTCAATTTCATCGATTTCAACGCTAACATTTGTATAACTTAGTCCTAAAAACTATCAAGAACTCACCTAGGACCTTTTTAGGACGAGGAGACATTGAATCCACCTCAGATTCAGTAGTTTGGGCTCGGTGCAACTCGACGAAATATGGAAACAATAGGTAGAAGGTATGCATGTCAATACATGGCAATTTCTAACCAACATCACACATGCAAATAGGTAATCAATTACCTAGGATAATGTTCAAATGAGTTCGAGTGCAAACACCTTCGAACTCGCAGGAGAATGCTGGGGTTTCACAGTCGAAAACTAGACAATGAGTATGGGTGCATGCAAAGGGTTAGTCCGATAATTTCAAGCTTAGGTTAGCCCCAAGCACACATCAGAAGCCAAGATCGAGCTAAAACCAAAGAAGACAGTCACCGCCTAGCTTTAAACTCAACGGCATTCGTCAGAATTAATCGCCGGGGTGACATACATGCACAGATTCAAAATAAGGTTTAAACCCTTGGATTTTTTTACATAAACACACATCAAAGACCACATTATAACCCACACAAACCAAGAGAGGGATTAAATCATACCTAAGATGAAGTTCGAGAGAGCTTAAGCTCTCGGCGTTAATGGTAGAGCACACGGAGGTGCTCTGATGACACATGCAAGGCTACAAGTGGATTTCCCATGTCTCAAAGGTTCAAGGTTCAGATTTTTGGGGTTTGATTTGGACAGAAATGGTGTAGGTGATGGTGGTTTCCTTCTCGGCGCCGGAGAGGGAAAATGAAAATGTTTAAAGAGACAACCGAGAGTTAGAGAACGAGATGGAGTGATTTCAGAAATGAGGAGGAAGGGAGACCGGAGTGGGTTTAATCCCACTTAAAAATTGTTTTAAGTGAAATTACAAAATTGCCCCTCCAATTATTTTAAATTACAAATAGACCCTCGAGATCTTGATTTGTAATTCGTTTTCAATGTAAAACTAATGTATGAAAATAAACGTGAAACCTAAGAAAGTAAAAGGATATAATTCTCGAGTTGTGGCTCGATAAATTAATTAAGACACCCACTCAGGGGTAAAAAAGTCATTCCACATGTCTCAGGAATAAAATACAATGTTTCAAGTTACGGGTTGTAACATTAATCTTCATCAAGGTCTCCATAATCTAGTCCATGGAAGGTGGGGGTTTGTTAATCTATTCGTTGTTGTTCCCAGGTGCAGCTGCTAATTTTTGTAGGTCATTACTCGCTTTAGGAGTGGCAGAGTCATTAGGTAACATCTTTCTGTTCTTGGGCAACGGATGCATCAGATAATGGATTGTCCCCATTAATGGGGTTGGTGTTACCATAGATGAACCTTAGATGGACTGACAGGGAAAGAGATCTTTTAGGATAGAATCCTTGTACTAAACCAGAAGAATCCTAGATGATACCTAAGAGTAAAGATACCTACGAGTAAATATTACATCCTCTTAGGAGTGTGATTACTTATGGTGCATGCCAATTCCTAAATTGTAGGAACGCCAAGACTTATGAGGAATCTGATTAAGTCCTTATCCAGATCAAATCTCATGTCTTACGGAATAAGCATAGTCAATCCACTGGAGTCGCTCAGATTTCGCCTATTGCCCTGGAGCAAGGTGATGGTGGCATTACTGCTCCGTCTGATACAACTTTGCTCAGAGTTGCAGAATCCATTACCGGACTTATGAGGTAACTGTATTCCTATCAGCCTTGCTCTGGCCCTAAAAAATCATGACCCTACAGTGTGATTAGCACTATGATGAAACCCACCCGCTCTAACTAGGTTTGGAAATCAAGAATGGAGGACATGCTTTATTGAATGTGTTAAGAACAAGCCAGCAAGTATGTCTGATGTTGATTGGACCAAAATAAAGATTAGCAAGGTTTTTTGGCAAAGAAGTCTATAATTTCCTTTGCTAATGAAGGTGTGTAGTTCTAATCAGGGGGAGCCTAGTCAAGAGAAGTCTGATCAAGAGGAACTTGGTCAAGAAATGTTCGATCATGAGGAGTCTGGTTATGAGTAGTTTAATCAGAGTCAACCTGATTATGAGTAGTTTGATTAGAGGCAGTCTAGTCATGTGTAGTTCAATCCAGGGGAGCCTAATTATGAGAAGTTTAATCAATGAGATTTTGATCAAGAGGAGCAATCCTATTTTGATATACCTTCCTCATGACCTAAAGAGGGAGATTGTTGGGTTTTTCCAACCCATGATGAGTTGTCCTCGGTCTATTAGGAATTATAGACTTACATGATTTAGTGGTTTTCCCATTTAGAGTCGTTTTCCCAATTGGAGTGGTTTTCCCAATTGGAGTTGTTTACCCAATTAGAGTTGTTTTCCCAATTGAAGATGTTTTCCCAATTAAAGTTGTTTAGCCAATTAAAGTTGTTTTCCCAATTGGAGTTGTTTACCCAATTTAAATTATTTACCCATTTAAGTTGTTTTCCCAATTAGAGTTAGTATCTCAACTGGAGAATGATTCATAATTAGATTCTAATTAGGATTAGTAATCCTTATTGAAGAAAAAAAAAAAGAGATAAAAGTGTGTATCTTATTCTTTCAGGTTTTTTATCAAGTCTTAATTCTAGAGGCTTGGCAAGATTATCCGTTGTAATCATTATTGATATAGTGAAATATCGTTGTTCCTGCCCTGTGGACATAGGCACATATAGCCGAACAATCACTACAAGAAAACATGGAACAGGTGACCAAATTTTATGTGGCGCCCAAAAATGCGTCACATATTTTTTCTATATGTGACGAATTGTTCAGAGCGTTGCACATGACTAGTTTTTAAGGTATGAAATTTGAGAACACTTAGGTAACGATAAATACATCACATATTCTAGAATGGAGTGGCGAAAATCATAAGCGTCACTTAAAATTATTTTATATATTTTAAGATGAAAAAGTGGTGACACAAATTTTTTGAAGTCCTTACTAAAATCTATGGCGAGGAACAATGGCACCCTAACGAAGTATGATATGTGAGGAATTGCAAAAGTGTAACATATGTGTATTCTCGGTGACGAAAGTGATTCATCACTTTTCCAACAGTAAATAAATAAAAAAAGAAAAAAGAAACATAGTAAAGTATTAAATAAATTTGAGAAAGGCCATCTAAATTCTAAACCATTCTCTTTCACTTTCACTTTCACTATCTCTGTCTCTCAGAGTTCTCCCATTTCTCATCGTTGTGACCCAGGCTAACCGACGCATCTCTTAATCTTCTTCTCTCTCTATCGCGACATTACTGGGATCTTCTAAGCCAAATGCTCAAACCGTCTCTCATCTATTCCTTGTCTATCACACTCCACAATCAAAAACCCTAGAGACGAATTCAACCAACAAGCCAAATCCACACCCTGTCGCATCTAAACCTTCTTCCAGTTTCTTGCGCCACCACCGAAAACCCAAGAACCATAGAAACCCTTTCCACCAACTACATAAATCTATGCCAAATTTCTCCACGCCTACGAGACTACAATGTGGCCAAATGGTTAACAAATTCAATTTTTATCATTCTTTTTAACTTAGGGTTTTGGATTTACAGGTAATTGCGTCCAAATTGAGCACGCCAGCAGCCCTCGACCTCTTCATCCATTTTTCAAGGACTCTAATTGGGTAAAATTTGGTTTTTAATTTTTAGATTTATATATATATATCCCTGGCTTTTTCTATTTGTTTTTGGAACTTGCAGGTTTACATTCACAAATTTACAAACAAAAAAACTGAAGGAAGGAACATTAATCAATAACTTTAGCAAAGAAACTTGTAAGCATTTCTTCTTTTTTCTTGCTACATTTTGTTTCCTTGTGAGATTATATGTATTTGTCCCTGGCTATTTTATTCTGGGTAATCGTTGGGGATTATTCAAATGATTTATTTGCACATATGGAGGCTTTAATAAGTTGTTTTATTTGGTCTTTCTATTTCAATTTTTTGTTTGTTATGAACTTGCAAGTTGGTATTTTTTTTTTCTGGGCTTATTGGTTTTACATGGTGATTGAAGGTAAAAAAATTTGAGTTGGTGATACCATTTATTGAAAAGGAAAGTTGTTTGATTTGGTTTTGAATTGCTCTGAAATTTGAACCATAACTCTTTTAAGTGCTCTGCATATGAAAAAAATTGAAAATGGTCTCTTGGGCAAGTATAATGATTTCCCCCATCATAGATGATTTTCTTTCTTCTAATTATTAGTGGCAATGTCTTTTCTATTTATTGGTGTTATTATTTGGAGTCCTAGAAAACCATGAAAAACTATATAAAGAAAGATTTAAGAAACACATATATTTCTCCTATATATTTTTTCAGCTGCTCAGTTCTTATTAGATGATATGGGATGACTGATGCTGCATATGACTAATGCTGCATGTGACTGATGCTGCATATGATTGATGCTGCATATGACTGATGCTGCATTTGGATATTAGATGATATGGGGTGACTGATGCTACCAGATTTTATGTTTCCTCTTTCCATGGGATTCTCTATTAAGTCTAATCCCTTAATTTGAGGAAGATTGACATCTAGATGACTTGTTGATAGTTGTGTGCTAGCGACTTGCTGCACTCCCTTAATTTAAGGAGTGATAGCTTGAGGGCTTACCGGGTTAGTAGGATTTGCTAAGGTAAGGTTGCTTGTAACCTTCTACCTCATTATATATCTCCCCTTGTACATTCAATCAGTCTATGAAAACTACATTCAAACAAACTTAAAATTTCCACAGTTCTGTTTAAGCATGGGCTTTTACTTCCTTTTAAGTTAGATACAAAATAGTTGAAAGCTTATGTCATAGTTTGATTATTATGACTTTGCACTGATCTTTAAGTAATTCTTCCAACTAGTGACCATATGACTTGCTCAAAATTAATCCAATGTGTTTTTTGTGTTCTTCTATTGGCTGGAGGCCATTACCTTAGATGAATATATCAATTTGGTTGTTTAGTAAGAGCAAAACCACCTTTGTAATACCAAAGTTGGTTTCGTTTTGGTTGTGTGAGATCCAGTGCAGAGTAAAATTTTAATTATTGAAAACTTTATCTGCATGCAAAAATGGTAAACTGATTTAGATCTTCTTTATGCCTATTTTGCCTATTTTTTTGTATTAAGCACACTAATGTTTTTATTTCCAAAGTAATTTGTTGTTGTGATTATGTTGTTTGTAGGTTGGTCATGGTTTTTGACAAGGGTAGTTCTCTTGCTTGTGTTTTTAAACCAAGATGTTGTCGGTATAGGTTTTATACTCTGCAAATTTTGGGGTTGTTCTGCTTTCAGTATTTTCATCGTAATCTCACTTAATCAACATACTTGGTAACTTAAGTGATAGCCACAACTTCTAGAACTCACCTTTTGAAGGATATTGAAATTAAAGTACATATAAAACTCAATTGTGTAATTTTGATAGGCTCATCTCTTACGTTTCGTTCTTCTTACTGTTAACTATTCCTTCAATTCTTATTTTCTTCTCTTTTGTTATTCAAATTCTCAATGCACCTGCTATTCTCTAGACACCAATGTTTTTATTTTCTTCTCTTTTATTATGTAAGGATAAGATGAAGAAAAAGAAGGATGGAGTTAAAGGAGAAAGTATTCAAGAAGCACTTGAGGTAGTGATGGTGATCTTTCAAATGACAATGATACTTGTGCTGAACTAAAGACCATGACATGGCTGATGACTTATATTATGTATTTTGTCGTTGTTTTCAAATATGCACATGGTATACCTGTTTTGTTACCGACTCAATGCCTTAGAATCTTGTTAGCATCGCAATATGTTTAGAGGTGTTAGGATGCTTATGTTAGCTTTTGAGATAAACACTTGGTGTATGTATTGGATGTAGTCTAACTTATTGATCAATGAAATGAGATTAACTAAAGTATTGCCTCGTATTTGTTATGAATTCTAATTCTAGATGACGAAGCAGGGAATATGTGGTAATTGGTTCGTCATGAATTGTTTCTAATAGGTTTATGATTTTGACACATGTGACACAAATTGCGTCACATGTCAAAGGAATATGTGACGCTTTCAGTCTCACTTATTTTTAGCCATAACATTCTAGGATCAAATTGGGTGACGATAAATTCCTCACTTATACATTTGTTATGTGACGAATTTATAGGTCACTAACTTTTATGTTTTGTGACGCTTATTTTGCCACAGTTAAAGTTATTAAGTGACGAATTTGGCGTCACAAATACTAAAAATATGTGGCGAACGTAAAATTCGTCACATGAACTATAGGTGACGAACATAGTGACGCTGGATTTTCGTCACATATAATCAAATGTAACGAATTTTCATGTTTATATGACGAATGTCTGTCACCACCTAAGCTATGTTCTTGTAGTGAATGTTAATTCTTGTTGTTAAATTATCTTGGTTATTTGTTCAATTTTGGAGTTTGTTCTGTTTTTTTCTCATTCTTAAAACCCGATATTCACAACAAACAATATGAGGAATTAGTTATGGAGCTTCAAGTTTCCATACATTAGTGCAATTGGCGCTTTATTTTACTTAGCTTAGTGTATTCGACCGTACATCTCCTTCGCTATTAATCTTTTAGCAAGAAGTAGCAACGCGCCTAAACATAGATGCTGGATTGGTGTCAAAGACATCATTCGTTACCTTAAGAGTACTTTAGATTATCAAAAGATAAAGAAATGGTAATGTTATACTTATTATTTTCATCCCACATTTGTACTACATCTTTAATATAAGTAGGACCACTGACACATGTGAGTCCTATCTCTATAAAAAAAGGTGGTACAAATGTGGGATGTGTCGTATTTATTAAAATGAAAATAATCACAAAATGGAAAATACATGGCGGCATGTAGTGCCCTTCGTGGTTGTGATCATGGATGTGAACTTCTAGCTTGCTGCCGCATGTGTTTCTTTTAATTTTTTAATTAAGAAGTTAGGAAAAGTATTTTGAATATTTCTACAGACTCGTTCTCACATTGAGCACGATGATAAATTAAGTTTATGTCATGTGTAAAAGTCCTTCCTCAGTGGAATCAGATTATGGACTTTTCTATTGTGTATGTCGCTTTACCACATAAAATAAAGTGCTCTTCGTTTTTTATAATTGTCATTCATCACTGAATTTTAATCTTACTGACTACACCTACTCTAGATCTACCTGATTAGCACTTTCAACACGTAAGAACTTGGATAATTTCAAGTGCGGCGGCGAAACCTCAGTTAAAACTTACACCAGACTCATTCCAGTCAATATTTCAATTAATTTAAATAGTCAGAAACTCGTGAGAATTGTCCTCCCATTGACATTTAATTAGCCTTCGTGCGGTTGACGATCACATCATTCTTTTTATTTTTGCCATGGTTTCCTCAAGATTAATCAGATTATTCTTCCTTTCCACACAAATTTTGTTACTCGTCATCAACGTTAATTTCACTCAAGCCCTACTTGGACCTCGTGGAGTTCCAAGAGTCCGCTGTTTTAGCGACAGAGGTAACTACACCACTGGCAGCAACTATCAAATAAACCTCAACAGCCTCCTCTTTGACTTACTCTCTTACAAAACGGCTACGGCTTTTACAATTCCTCCCTTGGCGAAAACATCGACAGGGTTTATACAATCGGGCTCTGTCAAGGACTAATTAAAGAGAATATTTGCGGTAAGTGCCTTGCTGACGTTGCAAACGATCTAAGGGAATATTGTCCTAATTGTAAACCTTATAATATATGTATGTATACACACACACAAGGGATCCATTCGATTAAGTTATAAACTACATGTGATTCAGTATGTAATATATACAACTAACCCTAGTATTTACTGCAATGAATGCAGTGTCAATATGAACCCTAACGTTAAATTAATATGCATGAATAAGCATGCAAACCTGAACCATCCAGCCATGGTTTGCAAAGATAAATGTCTTCCCTTCTCTTGTACGAGCACAAGTGGTTCTCCAGGTTACAATGGGACAACCTTTATACTGATACGAACACCATATATGTACCGAGAAGAGAGGCCAAATCCCATTCACTTTGGTAACTGTCTCATCCCATCATTACGGCAGTTACATGAAGTTATGCACTTAAAAATTAACTTCCATTTAATTCAGATAATAATTAAATGTCATTTTTCCCTCCATTATGTTTTAGTTTGTCCGGACCTAAAACCCTTAAAGTCTATCCTTTATGCCTAGCTCATTTACTAAGTATTGCTGCAGTTCATAATTGATGAACTCACATGAATTAAAACTTGTGAATTCACATGATTTCTTACATTCTCTCACATGAGTGAGATCAAATATTCAATATTACTGCAGTTATTTAGTAAATGTGATCACTGAGCTATAACATCCATTAGACTTCATCAGCTAACCAATATAAAATTCTTGCAGAACCTAAGAAAACATAATACCAAAGTAATGTATCAGTTTTCCAAGATTACAAAACAATATTATATAAGGTGAATACTGTCAATGAGGAATGCTTGTTTTTGGGATCAAAGTCAGTATTCGGAGATACTCTCCTACATTTTTGGTCTTTGAGGTACTAAGAATATCTCAACTTAATTAACTTTGCTAAGATTCACATTCGAGTTAACAATATACCCTTTAGTCAGTACTTTGCATTACAAGTGATATTAAATAACTCAATAGTACTCTTTAACACAATACAACATATAAGTAATGAGACACATTCTCAAATACTTTACTCCCACATTAATAGAGATCCATTGCTGAATGCAATCCCATTTTCATGACATGCTTGTTGAATCCAATGACATTGAGAGCTTTTGTCAAAGGGTCAGCCACCATTTTATGAGTACTATTATGCTCAATATCAATGAGTCCATCTCTGACTTGATCTTGCACTTTCAAGTACTTGTCATCCATCAGTCTCGAGGCTTCTGATCTCTTATTGTTCTTAGCAAAGAACATTGTTGAAGTGTTATCACAGTATATTTTATGTGGCCTCTCTATACTACTCCTTACAATCTTCATGTGATATAACAAGTTTTTCAACCAATTTGATTGCCTCATTGCTTCAAAACAGCCTATATACTTAGACTCCCTATTTGACATTGCCCTTGTTTGTAGTTTCTTGCTTTTCCATGAAATTGAACCATTGGTTAGCATGAAAATGTATCCACCATGGTTGACATTCTGTAATCCACACATCCTCCAAGATCAGCATCTATGTAGATTAATTCCAAGTTGTCAACATAGCTGTAGCACAACACATGATTGTGTTCTTTTTCAAATACTTGAGAACTTTCTTTCCAGCATGCCAATGAGCCACTCTAGGATTCGATTGAAACCTTCCCAAAAACCTCAATGCAAATGCAAATGCATAAGGCTTGTCCTTCATCACTTGAATATCATGATCTGTGACATGACAGTGCTTTAAAGTAAGCTTACCACTTTTCCCAATTGGCAACTCTCCTTCACTGCAATGCTCCACATTAAACCTTTTCAGTACCTTTTTTTAATATATGCTCCATGTGCTAATCTCAAAGTCCTTTGCGACCTGTCTCTCATGATTTCAATACCCAAAACATATTGAACATGACCCATATGCTTCATGTCAAAATGACCGGACAGAAGCTTCTTAGTTTCATTGAACAATTCAACATTGGTATTGGCAAGAAAAATATCATCTACATATAAAACCAAAAAGATGAAATTAGACTTCACTATTTTCATGTAAATGCAGTTGTCAATCTTATTTTCTGTAAAGCCAGAAGCAGTCACACTTGATCAAACATACCACTATCTTGAAGCTTGTTTCAACCATAAATTGATTTGTTCAACTTATAGACCCAATTCTCCGTCCCCATTTCAATGAATCTAATTAAGTGGCTACTTCATATAAATGTTCTCATCTAATTCACCATTAAGAAATGCAATTTTTACATCCATGCAATTCAAGATTGAAATGTGCAGTAAATGTCATGATAACTCTAAAAGAGTGACACTGGTAAAAAAGTTTCATTATAATCCACTGATTCTCTTTGAGTGAATCCTTTTGCCACCAATCGAGCCTTATATCTTTATACATTGCCTTGGGAGTCACATTTTGTCTTGTAAATCCACTTACAGCAGATGGATTTCAAGTTTTCTGCATTATCAACCAAAGTCCATGATGAGTCGATTTTATATTATATATTTTCCCCTATTTTTGATATATTTTGGTTATTATTTTGATGAGATTTTGATGCTTTGTTATGTATTTTCAATGTAGGACGTGCGAACTTGTTCTAAGCATAAAGTAATCAAACGATGAAATTTTTTAGTGATTCCAATTGGAGTAGGTTCGTGAGTCTGTCAAGAAGATTTTATCAAAATTTCATAATTTTATCCCGAAGCATCTGATCATGACGAATTCATTTATGTCCAGCGTGCAGTGCTGGAGATTGGACTACAGAGCTTGTTTGTGATTTTTGGGCTGGAAGTTTATGGATTTTGGACTTGGGCTCTTCTTGGGACTTCAAGAGGAGGTTCTAATCTTTAATTTGATTCATTTTGGGCCTGGTTTGGACCCCTGAAGGTTTAGAAACGTGACTATTTTTCTGCTGGGCAGATTTTCTGGTCAGATTTGGAGTGTGTTTTTAAGTTATCCTTTTATTATTTTGTTTCCTAGTTTCTAGAAAACCTTTTCTAAGAGGGATTTTAATTTGTAGTAGTATAAATAAAGTTTTTTAGCCGTTAGGGTTCTCTACACGACATTGAAAGAACTTAGCGAAGCTTTGGCGAATTTTAGACTTTTTACGTACAAGGTGTTTTCAATCATTTTTCTAGTTAATGATATTTTCTTTGCTTTTTATTATGAGTATGCATAACTAATTCCTTTTGCTAGGGTGAGGCCATGAGCCTTAGCATGAATATATGATTTTATTAATTTGCTTATGAATGGATGCATGCTTGCTTTGAATTATTAATCACCATGTTTAAACTATCTAATTGTCTTAATGCTTAGCTACCATTAGGGTAATTAGACAAGTAATTTGAAGCAATTTCTATTGGAACATCACCCTGAAATTGAGGAGGACTTCTTGTGAATAGTAATTGTAAGTTCACTTAAGTCGAACATCATGCTATTAAGAGTTGAATGGTTTTTCAAAGGGTTTTCACAAAGCTTAATGAGTCTTATATGTTTATAGTTGACCTGAACATCGTAGACGGGTTGCATGTTAGATATACGTTTTCGCTTGAACATCACGAGGAAAATATGCATTAGGAAAACCTAACCTTCAAAGCATGTATGTGGAAATTCATAAGTAATTGGTAAAATTGCATATGATTGTTAATGGTGACGGCAGAACCCTAGTCTTTCTCATAATTGTTTTAATTCAAAAGCATTTTCCTTCTTTGCTGCCATTATTTCCAAATTTTCAGATTTCTTTTATTGTTAATTTAATCTTTTAAAATTCAAAAATCTCAAATCTTTGATAAAATATGTTTTAAATAATTAATTAAGAATTAGTATAATCACAAATGAGTTAAACAATCTTTGTGGAGAACAACCTTGCATGAGCAATTATACTATAATTTTCTTGTATTCTTGCAAGTATTTTTAACATAATTTTAACCCTATTTGCGCATGTACTAAAAATCCTATCAATCCACACCGTGTTTTTGGTCATGGAAGCGAACTTTTCTTCCATTGCAGCTTTCCATAAGTGAGAATTGATACTTTCTATAGCTTCTTAAAACTGGCAGGATCATTTTCATAACCAACATCATAATCTATTTCTTGCAGGTAAACCATCTAGTCATCTAGTATAACTCACTTCCTTGTTCTTGTGGATTTTCTTAGAACTTCTTGAGGAACAGTCATGTTTGCCAACGATGGAGGATGAAGTGTGGTTGGAGAGGGCAATATATTGTCCTGAATGGCAGTTGGTGGTGCTTGAGTAGACTGCATAGGTGGTTGCAGATTTACAGTAGCTCCCACATTCTCACTGTTAGTTGATGCATTTCTTGGTATAGTTGAAATTGAACTTGATCCAATTTCTGCAAGAGCTAATGGTAATAATGTGGACTGATTTAGTTGTGGAGCATTCCTAACTTCTAATACATCTTCAATTCTTTCCTAAAAAACATAGGATCTGTTACTTGATGCACAAGTTTATGCATAATTTTCAATGAATTTTGCATTGTGACTCTCTGGAATTGTGGTATAATGATGAAGGCAATAAAATCTAAAACCTTTGGACTTCTCTGCATATTTAACAAAGCAACAACTGGTTGTTTTCAAATCCAGTTTCCTTTCATTTGGATTGTAAAGTTTGGCCTCACATTGACACCCTCATGTGTGAAAGTGTGATAAGCTAGGTTTTCTACATGTCCAAGCTTCAAAAGGAGTGACCATAACAGATTTTGTAGGTACTCGATTCAATATGTAATTGGCAGTTTTTATGGCTTCTCCCCATAAGAACTCAGGCAAGCGCGAATGTGACATCATACTCCTTACATACCTTTGAGAGTTCTATTTCTTCTCTTAGTAACACCATTCTGGGATGGTGTCCCTGGGGTTGTGTACCAAGTTACAATCCCATTTTGCTGCAAATACAAGGCAAATGGTCCCTTATGTTGCCCACTTTGAATATACTTGTCATAGAACTCCCCACCACAATCAAACCTCACTATTTTAATTTGTTTTTCCAATTATTTTTCAACTTTAGTTTTGAAAATTTTAAAACAATTGAAAACTTGAGATTTGTAAGAAATTAAATACAAGTAAGTATAACTTGAGAAATCATTAATAAAGACGAGAAAATATGAGTTTCCACAAATGGTTCTAGTTGGAAATGGACCACATACATCAGTGTGAATGATCTTCAATAGATCATTACTTCTAGTGGCTTGAGTTTTCTTACTGAGATTGGTAGTCATGCCTTTATAGCAGTTTATGCATTCCTCAAAATCATCAAAGTCAATGTTTAACAGTATCCCATTCTTTTGAAGTCTCAACATCATATCTTTTGATATGTGTCCAAGTCTTTTAAGCCATAACATGGAAGAGCTGTCATTAAGAAGCACATGTTTTGAGACAGAATGTTCAAGATTGAGACAATCTTCATAATATGAGCATTGAATTTGCCAAAGATCTCCATTTGGGAATGCATAACCAATGGAATTGTCAAGCTGGTTGTTAAGGAAAACCTGAATCTTATTAACACCACCAACATATGAAAAACCATCTTTAACAAAACTGAGTAACAAAAAACAAGTTCCTTCTTATTGAAGGAACATAGAGTACATTATTTAAGTTAATACCTAACCAATTGACTGTTTTAACATTATCCTACCAATTGCTTCAACTGCCACTTTATTTCCATTTCCAACAAACACATTGTATAGACCTCTTTATTTGTCCCCTTCTAGTTTTGAAATCCCTGCAATGAATTTGTAATATGGATTGAACAACTAGTTTTAAACCATTATGGGTTTTGAGAAATGAAAATCATGTAGACTTACTGTGACAAAAACATTGATTTCAATATTACCTTTCTTAATCAACCAAACTCTGAATGCAGGACAGTTTCTCCTTAAATACTCAGTGGATTGACAATGAAAACACTTTTTAAGATGGACCTTATTAACTCTTAGACTTGTGGAGGAAAAAGCACCATCATTCTTAATAGCAACTGAAGTGTTCTTAAGGGGTTTCTTGGAACCAAAGTCTGCACCAGCTTGATTTTTGTAACCTAATTGCTTTTTGCCTTTTTAATTTTCATTTTTCATTCCTACAGTCATTTTACCCTTCCCTTTATTAGAACTGACAAGATTTGCCAACTCCAATCTCTTAGCTTTGGGCTCCTTCATCCTTTCTTCCTCCTAACAGCAGAAGTAAATGAGTTCATTGATGGTCCAATTCTCCTTCTAAGTATTATAATTCATTTTTTTTTTTTTTAATCTAATCCCCTGACAGGGAATAAAGAGCCATATGGACCAAAAACTGATATGTGATCCCCACTTCTAATGCATTCAGTTTGTTGGAAATGTTGACCAACTTAAGCAAGTGCTCTCGAACACAACTGATACCTTCGTGCTTGGAATTGATGAGTGTTGAGAGATAAGCTCCAATCTTAGCCTTATCAGATGTCTTAAACTTTTCCTCGATTCTAGCCAAGTAGTCCTTAGCCAAATCACATGCTAGTATACCACCTCTGATGTGTTCTTCCATAGCATTTTGCATGATGAGAAGTGACATCTGATTAGCCCTTTCCCACTTTGTAAAAATTTCCCTTTCAGATGCAATGCTTGAATCAGTGAGTGCAGAAGGTTGTGGAGTTTTGAAAGCCATACTGAACTCCAGCATTCCCAAGTTCATCTCAATGTGGTGCTTCCATGTGTTGAAATTGTAACCATCGAGTTTCTCAATGTTCACAAGATTCAACATGTCAAAACTTGCAGAAATTACTTCCTTTAGTGAATTCATAAGTTTGTGATCAAGAATGTAGCATCTTGTCACACTAAAGCATGTATAAAATCAGCATCACCTTTAGGCAAGACACCATCAATGTATAAATATGAATTCCTTAATTCTTGCAAAGCCAAATATAAATATACATGAATATATGTAAAGCATCACCTTTAGGCAAGAAAAACTTTACACAATTGACATGTTCATCATCACTCACTATACATCAGTGAATAAGTAATCCCATTAATCTATTTCTTTTGAAATATTTTTACTGTTAGCCCTATAAACTGCTTTATTAAGTGTTCTAAAGATACTTGTATCATAAGATTAGTCCATATACCTTGGTGTAATTAACTAATTAATCGTAACGCATCAACACTTAAACTGAACTTGCATTCAACTTGCTGAAATCAAATTAACTGGTGTAAAAGCATCAATATTACTGCATTACTGCAAATAAAATGAGTATGAAGCATTTCTGTATGCATAAACATATAAAGGTGTTTCTTAGACATGCATAAAATAAAGATTGTGAAAGAATCTTGTTTACCAACACAACTATGTGTGTACTTTTGCAATTCACAATTTTAATAACAGCGGAATGACATGTACGGATGCAAGTTGAATTCAAGTCCTTCTGATACCACATGTACACTTTATACACACACACACACACACACACACACACATACATACATACAAGGATCCAATCAATTAAGTTACTAAACTACATGTGATTCAATATGTAATATATACGACTAACCCTAGTATTTACTGCAATGAATGCAGTGTCAATATGAACCGGCCCTAACGTTAAATTCATATGCATGAATAAGCATGCAAACCTGAACATCCAGCCATGGTTTGCAAAGAGAAATGTCTTCCCTTCTCTTGTACGAGAACAAGGTGGTTCTCTAGGTTTCAATGGGACAACCTTTTTACTGACGTGAACACCATTTATGTACCGAGAAGAAAGACCAAATCCCAATCAGTTTGGTAAATGCCTCATCCCATCATTAAGGCAGTTACATGCAGTTGTGCGCTTAAATTAACTTACATTTAATTCAAATAATACTTAAAGGTCTATCCTTTATGCCTAGCTCATTTACTAAGTATTGCTGCAGTTCATAATTTGATGAACTCACATGAATTCAAACATGTGAATTCACATGATTTCTTATACTAATCAGAAGGAGGCAATTGGATGTCACAATGATTATATGTTACGCTACTCAAACCGCTCCATATATGGCATAATGGAAACTAATCCAGCTTTCTACCTGCCCAGTGAAGTTAGTGTATTGACGGGCTTGGATGCGTTTAGTCTGAGCTCTCATTTACTTAAAGGACTGGGACAAAAAGCAGCAATGGTGATCTTCGTAAATTTGCAACAGGAAATTAACGCAAGCATTCCAAATCCTAACATAAAAATATATGGACTTGTTCAATGCACCCCAGAAATGTCCGAGCAAAGTTGCATTGATTGCTTAAATTATACTTTGGGAGTGTTTAGATCAAGTTGTAATGGAGCAGTTCGTGTGAGAATTGTGACACCAAGCTGTGGCTTAAGGTGTGAAACTTGCACCATTATTTTTTGTTGGGGTGAAAAACTTAGAGTACAGAACTCTAGCACAAGTGTCGGAGAGACAATACAAGTAAACAAATTACTTGTATTACACAAACAAAATATTACAACACTCTCAAAGGACACTCTTAGGAAGCTATGACACTCACTCACTTTCTAGAGACAAACTCTAGACCACTCACACTCTTACAAGACTACTCTTTCTTCTCACTCTCACTTGCTTGCTTGCTTACAAGCTTGCTTGGTTGGTTTGTTGTTACAAATGGTGTGGATGCCTTCTCCTTTTATAGGCATGGATGGAACCTTGGAGAAGCATGGACACACCATGCTAGAGATATCTAGATAATTCCACTAACTTCCTAAGCTAGAATTATCTACCCTAATCTTGCATGTTGGTGGAAACCTCACCATTCTTCTAGACTTTTCCACCAACTTAAGAAACAACATTCTAGTCATTTCTACAAAGTACTACTTTAACTTGGATAATCTAGCTAACCAACCTTAGTGAATGTTCTAGAATTCTTTATTCTAGATTTGTGTAGGTCCTTGAATGAGATGGGGTTGATTTCCTTAACATTTTTCATACTGGTCTCTCATCAAACTGTGTTATTCTCATTGGTTTTGCTAATTTTTGTCTATATTTTTATGGTACTAACTCTTCTCTTATGACACTCATTGTACTCCCTGTATCTATCATAGCTATTGTTTGTATCTTATATTCTTTTGCTAATTCTATTTCACAATTTATGGTAATTAAAGAACTATTTTTTGGCTTTTCTATACTATAAACAATATTACCTAATATTTCAGTATTTTCTTGTGATTCTGCTGAATTAATTTCTATTAACCTATTACTATAGCATTTTTCACATAATATTGAATATGTATTATAGTATTTATTTGCAACTAACTTGGTACACTTATGACATTTTTCTGGCCAACCTAAATTAATGTATTTGTACTCTTCTTTATGCTGTTCTTCTATGAATGCACACATATACTCTTCTAAATCACTATTTGAACTACTTGGATCTTCCAAGTCTGAATCTATCATATTTATACTTTGTATACTATAAATACTCTCATTATCACTTAAATCATCAAAATTGTATATTGACTGTATATCTTCATCTTCTTCTAACTTAAACAACTCCATTAAATGTACTTTTTCTCTGGGCTATTTTCCTAATTTTGGACACTTAGGTCTAATATGTCCAACCTCTCCACATGAATAACATTTACAACTACTTTTATCTTTTGGTGCTTTATATTTTCTAATCCAAGGTCTGCCACTTCTTTTTCAAAATTGTTTTGGAATATATTTTCTCTTTCTATATGTTCTTGAAGATTTTATGTTGAAATTCTTATGCCGTTTGTAGGGTTATATGACTTATATTTCCTTTTGTATATTTTCTTATGCTTATTCTTCTTATGATAACCATTCTGTTGTGGTAAATCTATATTTTTACAACTCATGTAAAATTGTTTCCTAATTTGTCTCTTAGCTTTTATTTGACTACACTCTTGTCTAAGTATGTCATATACATGTTGAATTCTAGGTCCTATTGCAATATCATTTTTCTTTGGATGCTTTTGCCATTCATTCCAAATATTTTCACCTATTGGGCCTTTTATTTTTTTCATATAAGTATCTAATAAATTAATATCACTAATTCTACTTGTTCTTCCTAAATATTTAAAGAAATTTATTGTGCATTCAGCTATATATTGTAAATCACAAATTTGTAATTATTCTAAATTTCTAATTGCCCTTATTTGTTCTTGTTCACTTCTGCCATCTAACCTATTATGATCTAAAAATTCTTGTTTAATCAAAGTAACAAAACCGTCAATATAAAAATGTATTTTGGCTGCCTGATGCTGTTCTGGATTTTGAACTTTCCATAACTGAAAATAATAAAAAACTAAACCATCTAAAGTATGTTCAAAATAATCTAATATATTTTTTGAATTACTAAAATCTAACATTAATGATGCATGTACGCAACCTTTTTCCTATCTTTCAATTGTTCTCTCCTAATCTTGTGGATCTACATTATCTAAGTTTAATATATTTCCTGCTATATTAATTTGTTCTAACCCTCTCAAATATGGTATCCTATTTTTTCTAGATGATTTTATCATACTTTCTTCTATGTAATCTACTCTTGCTTTTTCATTATATTGTTCATTTGTTGGTCAGTTCTACCTGTGTATCCTGAATTTTCTACTCTTGATGTACTACTTTCTTCTGCTAGATTACATTCTGCTTTCAATTCTAATAAATTATTATGTTTTTTGATCCTAAAATATGTTCTACTCCTATTTCTAAAATTAAAATTTTCATCTCTTCATCTGAAATTTTATGTAGTCCTAAAGCATATGCATTATATTTTTCTAAGTACTCTTCTTCATCTAAATGATCAATATCTTCTATAAGTTTATCTACAATATGATCAAAATTTTGCGCAACTAAATTAATATCTAAATTATCAAAAGCTATATGAATATTCTCATTTTCGATCTCACTTTCATCCTCTTCTATTTTTTCTAGTTTCTTGTAATTAGTAAACCTAATTGTTGGTTGACCTGTACTAGTTTCCTATATTTGTACTTTATTTGGTTGTCTATTTCTTACTACTTGTAAATTAGGTAATGTCCACTGAGTTCCTTCTAAAAAACTATTATCTATAGGTTTTGCTTCTATCATATTTACATGTTTACTACCAAATATTTGAACTAAATTTTGAAATTCTAAATTAAACTTATGATTATATCTATCAGACCCTTTACTAATGTACATTAAGCTAATACACAAATTTTTGTACTTTCCTTTCATATTATAATTTTTTGTTCTTATGCTTACTTTAATATATTTACTAAATTCATTGATTGTCATAACATAATTTGGAATACATCCTATGACTGCTAAGTTTGAACTTAAGTATATTTCAGCTGTTGCTATTGCTGCTTGTTGGTGGTTATCCCATTTATCATCATATATGTATACTAAAGTTTTTGTGCCTACTTGTGCCGACGAGGACGTCAGACCCCTAAGGGGAGTGGATTATGAGATCCCACATCGCCTAGGGGAGTGGATCATATAAGCCTTATATATATATTCTCATCTCTACCTAGCATGAGGCCTTTTGGGAGCTCACTGGCTTCGGGTTCCATCGGAACTCCGAAGTTAAGTTCACGCGAGAGCAATCCCAGGATGGGTGACCCACTGGGAAGTTCTCGTATGAGTTCCCAAAAACAAAACCGTGAGGGCGTGGTCGGGGCCCAAAGTGAACAATATTGTACTACAGTGGAGTCGAGCCCGGGATGTGGTAGGGGCCCGGGCCGAGATGTGACAATAATTTTTTATAACAATTAAGCATTTGCAGCT